AGGCTGAGGTTGGAGGATCACAGGTTTAAAGCTAGCCTTGGCAATTTAGCAAGGCCCTAAGCAACTTAGCAAGACCTTATCTCAAAAAATAAAAAGGGCTGGGGATGTGACTCAATGGTAAAGTGCCCCTGGGTGAACCCTAGTACCAAAAAAAAGGAAAGAAAAGAAAAATATTGAGTAAATGTGTATGACCTTTTACCCACTCTCTATCAGCTCTGGAGTCCGCCATCGAGAACCTCAACGAAGCCAAGAACTATTTTGCAAAAGTTGACTGCAAAGAGCGAATTAGGGACGTCGTTTACTTCCAGGCTAGACTGTACCACACCCTGGGGAAGACACAGGAGAGGAACCGGTGTGCGATGCTCTTCCGACAGCTGCATCAGGAATTGCCCTCCCACGGGGTGCCTTTGATAAACCATCTCTAGAGAACACATCTCTACTGGCCTATGGCCAGAGTTTAAGACAGACTTTGTGCTCCACCCACCATATCAATGGTGTATCCATGACACCCTGTCTTGTTAATAAACTATGTTCTGATCAGTTGGTCTTTTTTGATTGCTAGAAAGTATGTATTTGTTTTGTTCCCCCTTTTATTTCCTTTTGGTAGCAAAGGACACCAACTTTTTGTTATGTAACAGCTGATTTGCCAACCAATTAGCTCAGGTGTCTGTGATAAGGTTCTCTCTGGGCAGAATTGCCAGTAAATTTTGTTTATTTTTATGTGTTGCTGAGGATCAAAGATGCACAGTGCATCTTTTTTTTTTTTTTTTTTTTTTTTTTGGCTACTGGGGATTGAACCACATTCCCAGCCCTATTTTTTGTATTTTTTATTTAGAAACAAGGTCTCACTCAGTTGCTTAGCACCTCGACATTGCTAAGCTGGCTTTCAATTTGAGATCCTCCTGTCTCAGCCTCCTAAGCCACTGGGATCACAGGGATGTTCCACCACACCCAGCCCTAAATGTATCTTTATATATATATAAATCTGTTTACCACATGTGAACAGAGAGGAGCTACTTGGGGAGTGGGCAGGTCTCCCCAATGGTTTTCATGAGGCTTGGATTTCCTTCTGAGAGGAAGGAAATTTTATGCAGCATATAAAGTGTTTCCACATGCATGTTTGGTAGGAGGGTTAAGGGCAAATGAACGGATTTTCCTTCTCCTTTAGTTGGCCTGAGTGGGCCTGATGGTTCACATGTGCTCATAAGCACATGTCCACCCCGGAGATTAATAAAGACAGGAAGTTAAGGGTGTAGCTCTTACCTAGCATGCAGGATGCCCTAGATGTCATCCCCACCACTGTCAAAAAAAAAAAAATGACTTTCAAAAAATTGTTTTTTAAGGTGGGCGTGGCATGCATGAAATCCCAGCAGCTTGGGGGGCTGAGGCAGGAGGATCATGAGTTCAAAGCCAACCTCAGCAACAGCGAGGCACTAAGCAATTCAGTGAGGTCCTGTCTCTAAATAAAATACAAAATAGGCCTGAGGATGTGACCAAATGGTCAAGTGTCCCTGAGTTCAATCCCTGGTACCCTGCCCCCCCAATTGGTTTTTAGACCAATGATAAGGATCCTATTTCAACCATTTCTTAGGGGTTAGCTTTTTTAAATACCTTTTGTATGGGTATGCTTTTTCTTCTATATTTAACTATATAAATAAGGGGTTTTTGATAAGTCTAGGAATTCATGAAAAGGTGATTATAAATTGAGAAAGGGTTCAAAGCTCAGATGTGTGTAGATATTCTCACCAAACATACGGTGTGCATAATTTACAATTAATCCCTATAGTCGAGCAGGGCCAGTTAGTGCTGTCTGTTCATGAATTTCCTATTGAGTATGAACAGAAAAATGCCTGTATTTCAAGTCCAAGGCTGCAGCTATGCCCATACAGCCCTGATAAAGCAACGAACAACCAACCAAAATTTGCAGCTTTGTCCTTGCCTCTTTTTCAGTTAAATTTAAAGTTTCTAATGAGAAACAGTTTCTCTCCAGAGCTCTTTCTGAAGTAGTGAAAAAAAAAACTCGCATCTATTAGAATGTTTTCTGGCCAAAAGACTTCTGCTCCGGAAACATTTAGTGTGGAGGTAGAAACATTAATTTGGTGTGTTGATGTTTAAAATATTTCTTTACATTTATTTGGAAGTTATATGTTTGTAGGTGATAAAAATTAAAACATTAAAGGCTATATAGGAATAAGTATTCTAGGACATAACTACTATTAGTGATAGTTCTTTTTATATTGTTTCAAATGTTTTTTCTCATCTGGTGTCTTTTGGAGGGATATGGAGTTGCTAGGGGTGGAACCCAGGGCCTCTCATGTGCTAAGCAAGAGCTCTACTACTGAGCTATACCACCTAGACCTATGATGTTATGTTTTTAAAATAATTTTTTAGTTATAGATGAACACAGTACCTTTATTTTTATGTGTTGCTGAGGATCAAACCCAGTGCCTCACACATGCAACGCAAGTGTTCCACCACTAAGCCACAACCCTAGCCCCCATGATGTTATTTTTGATCAATGCATTTTAAGTAAGATCCAATCCAAGAAATGGCTGTAACCACTCTGCCTCTGCAGAATGAGGTCCAAGAAATGGAATCAGGTTGTTAGCTGATCCCACAGGTATCAAATACCAGAAATCACCAAACCCAACCAGGACCAACTGTGGAATTTGTGAGGAACAAAGGAAATAAAAATGTGAAGCCTCTGTTAAAAATGAGAATTTCTTGGCCAGGTACAGTGGCACACACCTGTAATCCCAGTGGCTCGGGAGGCTGAGACAGGAGGATTGTGATTTCAAAGCCAGCTTTAGCAAAAGCAAGGAGCTGGGCTGGGATCGTGGCTCAGTGGTAGAGTGCTCGCTCTGGGTTCTATCTTCAGCAGCACATTAAAAATAAATAAATAAATAAAATGAAAGGTATTATGTCCATCTATAACTAAAAAAAAAAAAAAAAAAGCAAAGTGCTAAGCAACTCAGTGAACCCCTGTCTCTGAATAAATACAAAATAGGGCTGAGGATATGGTTCAGTGGTTTAGTGCCCCTGAGTTCCCTGGTACCCCCTGCCCCACAAAAAATGAGAATTTCAGAGTCAGGTGTGGTGGCATATACCTATAAATCCCAGCAACTTGGGAGGCTGAGGCAGCAGGATCACAAATTCAGAACTAACCTCAGCAATTTAGTGAAGACCCTGACTCAAAATGGGCTGGGGAAGTAGCTCAGTAGTTAAGCACTCCAGGTTCAATCTCTGGTACCAAAAAAAAAAAAAAGTTCTCATATATGGCATGCACACACACAAACCCACACAAAATAATTTCAAAATGGCAACAGTCTTAAGCCAAGTATTGACGCCCTTAAGAGCACAGAGCTCCAAATGGCTGGCACCCACAAACTATCCATGTTTTCAGCTGGCTCCATGTTCATCTTGGCCTGGACGCAAATCTCAAATCCAAAGCTAACAGAGTTGGTCTGTGGTTTCCTGCTGTCGACAGATCTGTTGGCCGGAGCCTATCTTCAGGAGGGAATAGTGGGTTGAATAGAAAGTGGAAATATCAAAGTGACCTCAGAATGCAGAACTTTCTGGGTGGACAGCTAACCAGCATTTTTTTAAAAATTGTAGATGGACACAATATCTTTTATTTTATTAGTGTTTTTTAATGTGGTGCCTGGGATCAAACCCCAGTGCCTCATGCATGCTAGGCAAGTGCTCTACCACTGAGCCACAAAACCAGCCCCTAACTAGCTTTTTTTCTGGTGGAACATTTGGTGGGAGAAGAGAGTAATTATATAATGGTATGGTATAATTATGGATGGGTTAATGGAGGAGTGTAGGAATTGATCATCTGGTTAAAGGGGAAAAGGGCTTGGTTGAAGCTTATTAGCCAGTAGGCATTTGGGTCTATACCAGAGACCTTCAGAATATGTCCTCAAAAGAGGAGAAAAAGGTTTTCTGACCCAAAGGGCATGGTGGGAACTCTACCCAATAGGTTTGGTGTTGAGATTTTCTGGTCCTGAGGTAGATGACAATAGCTAATATTTGCAAATTTTCTTTTCCCATATGAACACAAACCTAAGAGGTGGGCAACAGCATTTAATTCCATTGATAAAGAACCTGGGCATAAGGAGGTTAAGACACTTGCTCAAGCTGTGAACCAGTGGCTCAAAGAGTTGGGATTCTGACCTACTTGGTGTGTCATCTAATCCTGGAGCTGCCTTCTCCTCAAGTTTTAAAAAGTACTAAACAGTTTCTCTGAACATTCTTTTTCAGTTTGTTGAACATCTAATATCATTTATCTAGTACCCAATGTGACCCAGAAAATGTTAAATATTTTCACACATACCATCTTTAATGCTTGTAAACTCAATGCCGTCCCCATCCCCATTTTACAGGTGAGGAAACAGCACTGGAAGTATAGCCTGTCCCAGCCCTCTTAGGGGTAGGGACCAGAATGAAGATCATGTTGTAGTTATTAGAGGCTCCACAGGCTATCCTCTTTCACCACTGGGCTGCCTTTACAATCACCTAAATGTCTGGGATATTTATACTTGTTTTGAGTGTTTGAATGCCCTGACATTTTGGGTATTTTCATTTTGTTTTGGTACTGAGGATTGAACCCAGGGATGCTTTACCACTGAGCTACATCTCTAGCCCCCGCCCTTAAATATTTTTTATATTTGTTAATGGACTTTAATTTATTTATTTAAATGCAGTGCTGAGAATTGAACCTAGTGCCTCACATATGCTAGGCAAGTGCTCTACCACTGAGCTCTTTAATTTTTTTTTAATATATATATTTTTTTAGGTATAGATGGACACCACACAACGCCTTTATTTTTATGTGGTGCTGAGGATTGAACCCGGGTCCTGCCTGTACTAGGCGAGCGCTCTACCACTGAGCCACAATCCCAGCCCAAGCCTCTTTAATTTTTTTTTTTTTTAAAGAGAGGAGGGGGAGAGAGAGAGAGAGAATCTTTTTTTAAAAATATTTATTTATTTTTTTTTAGTTTTCGGCGGACACAACGTCTTTGTTTATATGTGGTGCTGAGGATCGAACCCGGGCCGCAGGCATGCCAGGTGAGCCCGCTACCGCTTGAGCCACATCCCCAGCACAAGACTTTTTAATTTTAAGACAATCTTGCTAAATTGTTGAAGCTGGCCTTGAATTTGCAATCCTTCCATCTCAGCCTCCTGAGTTGCTGGGATTGGTTCTGGATGTTCAAGGCCAGGGAGGTAGAACACAGAAGAGCACAGGAAGGAAGGACAAAGCCTGGACAGGAGATCATGATGCCATTCTAGTGGGCAAGACAATTTTCAAGTCTTACATTTCTGCCTCCTCCCTGTATTGTTCAAGTTTTCTTTAAAAAATAGCATTCAGAAGCTTTGTTTACTTATTTTCTTGACAATCTATGTTGTCAGGACAACAAGATCTGTTTGCTTAGAATAGGATTTTCTGGTATTTTTGGAGGGGGAGACCCAAAAAGCAAAGCTAATTTTTATGATCCTATCTCTAAGAAGAAAATGGTTTCTTTGTGTGGGATGATTCCTATCCTAAGAGGGGCTCAATGTCAATGACAGGCAATTATGATGTTCTGTACTTTGTTCTAATTCACTTTAATAAAAAAGGCACATAAATTGATGGGATTTTTAGCCCTGTGCTAAGTATATTAATAGCAGCATTGAGCACTTATGTGCTAGGCCCTGAGCTAATATCTTTACACACATTATTGGTATTTAAACCCCACGCCAAGCCTGTGAGCTAGGTACTATTATTATCCCCATTTGACAGCAGATGAAACCAACCTGGGAGAGATCATCTCACTTGCCCAAACTCACAGAGCTGGTAACTAATGGATCTGGGATTTGAACTGAGTCCGTCTGACTCCCAAATCACACCTTTCAATCACAATGTTGAGAGCAAACAAATGTTTTGGGTATTGTACCTGCCTAGATGCCAGATTTTTATAGCTCTATTGGCAAGTCAGAACCCCGAGTGAGACTGGAGGTGCAGCTCAGTGGTAGTACACTTGCCTAGCATGCAGAGGCCCTGGGTTCCATCCCCAGCACTACAAAGAAACAAAAAAGCAAGTCAAGAAGAAAAGAATCAAGATGGTAGCTGAGCATTAAATAAATGGTACAGTCTTTAACTCAGTAGATCAGAGAGACAGAGAAGTCAAGGAGGGCCTGGGTCATAACATTTCAGGAAACTTCCAAGAGGAAGTGAATCTTGGACTCGGGTTTAAATTTTTACCTGCACTTTTTATCCTTTCTTACTTGGTTTTTAAGTTTATACAGATATATTCTTGTCTATTAGCTACAGTGTTGAAATGAAACATAGGACATTTAGTAACATAATGTAAGTACATGGAATTGCATATTTTAACAAATAACAGGAAAAAACACCAAAATCTATTTTGGTTAAGTATGGTTGCCAAAGTATTTCTTGCCCATGGTCCAAATCTGGCACACTACTCATTTTTTTTTTTAAAGACCAGCTAATAATGGTTTTTACATTTTAAATGGTTGAAAACCAAAACAGTAATTTTTTTACTTTTTTTCTTTCCCAAATAGTAATATTTTATGATGTGAAAATTACGTAAAATTTAACTTTCAGCATTTATAAATAAAGCTTTATTGGGACCCATTATACCTCTTCATGTACCACTATCTGTGGCTGTTAGTTGAGCCATTTTCTTGGATAGTGTATGGCCTACAAGCCTGAAATGCTTCCTAACTGCTCTTTACAGAAAAGGGTTTGCTGATCTCTACCTTAGAGTTATAAATGTTCCAAGGGTTGGAATTCCCCACCAGCCCTAACACATACTTTTTGGGGAAAAAATCATACATACACACACACACACACACACACACACATATGGCCAGTTGTGGTTGTGCTCACCTGTCATTCCAGCGACTTAGGAGCTGAGGCAGGAACACCTCAAATTTGAGGCCCTGTCTCCTGAAAAGTAAGCTGGGCATAGTGGCACATGCCTGTAATCCCAGAAGCTCAGGAGGCTGAGCAGGGGGATCTCAAGTTCAAAGCCAGCCTCAGCAGCTTAGGGAGGCCCTAAGCAACTTAGTGAGACCCTGTCTCTAAATAAAATAAAAAGGGCTAAGGATGTGGCTCAATGATTAAGCATCCTGGGCTCAATCTCCAGTACCAAAAAAAAATAAAATAAAATAAAAATACAGAATTATGCATTCACCATTCAGAACTGATTGTTGGTAATATTTTGTCATTTGTTTCATATGCATTTATAAATAAAAGGAATGAAACTTCACAATGTTCCTCACACTCCCTGTCCCATTCTCTGTCCCCCTGCCACCTTTTTTTTTTTTTTGGTGCTGGGGATCAAATCCAGAGCCTTCTGCATAAGAGTCTAAAATGACAACCCCAGTCCTGTACTTCCTTCTTTGTGGCAGACTGTCATGAATTTAATATTCATTCCTTTTGTCTTTCAAAAAAATCTTGTATGTAAGCATGCGTACGTAAACAACACAGTGTGGGTTTAAAAAATATATACATAAATTGTGCATCATACCGTATTTTTTTTTGGGGGGGGGGGTACTGGGGATTGAACTCAGGGGCACTCCACCATTGAGCCACTTTCCCAGCCCTATTTTGTATTTTATTTAGAGACAGGGTCCCACTGAGTTGCTTAGGGCCGTGCTTTTGCTGAGGCTGGCTTTGAACTCGTGATTCTCCTGCCTCACCCTCCGGAGCCTCTGGGATTACAGGCACAGGCCACCTAGCCATGACATCATACTGTATTCTGTAGTTTGCTCTTGTACTCAACATTTTGTGTGTGTGTGTGCTCTCTTCCTGTTGGCACAGATAAGTCTAACACACTCCTTTTAACTGTAGTATGCCACCAAATGACTGTAAGAAGTTTATTCATTCCTTAGAATTCACATTCAGGAGGTTGTGGCCAGGTTTTTGCTCTTACCAAGTGCATCAGAAGAGGTGGTCATCTCATTGGAAGGCTTGTTGGAATCTTTGTCATCTCTTTGGAATTTTTTTGTGTCTGTGCAGCCTAGAAATACCAGAGAAGCTTAGCAGAAGGGGTCTGGAAATCCATCCACTTGTCAAGAGAGCATTGAACCTTTAGTTTGTGCTTGACTCTCCTCTGAACTCAATTTTTTTTTTTTTTCTGTACCGGGAATTGAACTCTGGAGCACTCAACCACTGAGCCACATCCCCAGCCCTATTTTGTATTTTACTTATTATTTTATTTAGAAAAAACAGGGGGTCACCAAGTTGCTTGGCGCCTCGCCTTTGCTGAGGCTGGTTTTGAACCCACAATCCTCCTACCTCAGCCTCCCGAGCCGCTGGGATTACAGGCGTGTGCCACTGCGCCCTGCTTGAACCCAATTCTAGATTTCCCTTTCGGCTGTTCGGCAGGATCGTCAGGGTTGCCAGATCTCCCAAGGCCAGCGGGCCAGGGATCCCACGAAGTCCCACCCGCTGTCTTCTCCTGGCCCTGCTGTTACCTAGCTGGGAGACTAAACACATTTAAAGGTTCCAGCAAAGTCGGGCACCACAAAGGGGAGAGTGGATGGGAAGAGAATGTGTTTCACAATCATTTCTAAATAGTCTCGTGGAAAAACCAGGACTTCGACGGTTGCCTGGAGTTGGTGCATCCGGGTGGAGGGGGATTAGGAGAGAACGTCCCTCAGCCTTTAGGGCCGGCCTGGGAGCACTGGTGGGCTGAGGCGGCTGCAGAACGGGGCTTCCCCAATGGGTGGGCCCCGAAACCCGGGCCGCATCCGTCGCCCGGGCCTAGTGCCGGGCCGCAGGGCAGGACCCTGGGTCTCCCCGCGGGCTGGGGAAACTTCCTGACACTTGGCCGCCGCCCTGCGGTCCGGGCGCTTGGCTGAACAAAGAGAGCGCTGGGAGCGCACCCCGCTGGCCCTGGGGGCCTCGGCCTCGGAGGGGCGACCCGGGCAGGTGCGCGCTGCGGGCGGGGGCAAGGTAGCAGCGCCGCGCGCCCGAGCGCCGGGCTGGCCTCTCCGCGCTCCCGCGGCGCCACCGGCCGGTTCCGCTGAGGGCCTCCCTTCGCTCCGCTCCCCTCCGCCTCGGCCCTCCCCTCCGCTCCCCGCGCGTGGCCCAGCGGCGGGCGCGCGGCCCCCGCAGGACTCCAGCGGCCGCGGCCAATCGGCTCGCAGCCCGAGGCAGCGCCGCGCCCGCGCACAGGCCGGGCGGCTCCTCCGCCCCCGCCCCGCCCCGCCCGCCCGGGCCGCGGAGAGGAGCGCGCCGCTACGCCGAGCAAGCCGCGCCGAGCGGAGCCCAGCCGGGGGCGCTGAGCGCGGGAGGCGGCGGCGCGGAGCCCAGGTGAGCGGGCGAGGGGGGGGCCGGGCCGGGCGGGGGACGCCGCCGCCGCCGCAGCCCCGGACGCCCTCGTCCTCCCGCGGCGGGGACCACCGCCCGGATTTAGACAAAGCGGGAGGCCGGTCCCGGGTGCCCGGCACCGAGGGGACCGCACGTGCGCCGCCCCTCGCCCCGCCACGTGGAGGGATGCGGACCCCCGCGCCCCTTTCCCAGCGTCTTCGGAGAGGCCGGGGCCTCGGTGGCCTCTGTCTGGGCCGCGCCCGTCCCGGTGGCAGGGGCAGTCCGGGAGTTTGGTGCTGAGGTCACCGGGCCGGGGCTGTCGGGGGTCGTGGGGGCGGCCTAGGCCCCCGCCTCTCGTTGACAGGTGGGGACACCCGGCCCTGCGCGGGAGGGGGCCAGCGGACCTGCAGCATCCCCACCCCCGCAGCCCGCAGGTCTCACAGGTCTCGTGGGCAACCCAGGCCCTGGTGACTTGGGCGCCAGGTGGCAGAACGAGAGACAGGCGTGGTGGGGTCCCGGGGGACCTTTGCTGCTCTTCAGTGCGCTCTTTGACCATCCCCACCCCAGCCGGTACCTCACGGGTCGAATTGGTCCTTTTGACCTAAATTTACCTCCGAGCTGCAGCATACTGTGAATGCGGAGAAGCGCCCACCCCGGCACCCTCCTGGTCCGGGGCGCCGGGCCCAGCCGGGCTCTGCACCCGGGTGCAGCCTTTTCGGGTGCAGCGTTTTCTGGCTTTCCTTACCCG